CGCTAAATTAAATTTACGTGAAGATGTCGAGTAACAATAACTCAACGTTTGTTTTTTCTGCAAAAGCATCAAATGAGTGAAATGAAATGTCGGTGAAAATAATCTCCAACATCCCGTAAAACGTACACGATAACAACGTTCCCATCAAATATTAACAATATGGCCTTTCCCATGAACTTCATACATCGATTATTCCAATTATAAAATGTATTCCCCGTTTTATATAATATTTTATTTTTAGTTTGTAGTATATGATAGGCTTGTGTTTTAAAGTTACATTGTAATGTGTGGCAAAAACATCTTGTCTTCATTTCCCTACTTGTAAACATAATTTGATGACGCTATCGATGTTGATGTTGTTCTGCTGATTTTTAAAGGAGCCGGAGCATTGGAATGTTAAGCAATTGATCCTGTTAAAACAAACGTGTGGTAAACTAAAAATCAATCAATCTTTGTTGTGGCGTGAAGTATATAAATAACAATTCAAAAAAATTCTGTGTCAATTTCAGTATACGAATTATGTCTGTAATACGACACAAAACTCGTCTATTTATGCTCAAGGGTTGTTGACATTCAAATGTTAAGTAAGACACACTTTCACGCGAGGGAATCGTTAAACTATCAAGTATATACCATATGTTGTTCAACTGGCTAGGTGGGAAGGGGCGCTATAAATATGGGTATGTGCCTTTGGTTTGATCATTTCCAAGATTGTTCGTCGTCATTTTAGCAAAATATGGGTAATGTTTTTGGTAAGTAACGCAAATTATTGAGTCAAAAAACGTTCCCAACGTCGATCATTTTGGGTCCAGTTTTCATTCGACTGCGGAAGACTCCCACCCAAAATCTATGAGTAATTATTGTATGATTTGTAATGTAAATATTTGAATTACAAATTGCTGAAATACAAATTACATTGCCGCCATCGCCAGTTTTTCACCATCTCCACAGTAACGTCACTTCGTGTGGAAAACATAATGGCGTTGTTTTCAGGGCACGTACAAAACGAGAATGGCCTTTTTTTCATAACGCTGAACTTAATACGACCTATTTAAGCGTCCACAAAGTATAAATAAAATAAATCATCTTAATTGTAGGCGATAAATTGCTGGCATTGTCTTATTCAGTAGTTTGTCATTTCATTTTGATAGAGATCTTTTGCAACACATAAATATTTCTAT